AAAAAAAAAAAAAAAAAAAAAAAAAGACAATGCTTAACTTCTTCCTACCCTCACGTTTAACCCTTGAAACCATTTGAATGAGGTTCAAGGAGTATGTGCATTCAAAGGCAGTCCTTAAACTAAATGCATTCTTAACTAATTTGAAATGCAATGTTTACCAGCTGTACTATAGAATTTTATTTAATAACCAGATTTCTAAGCAAAGGGACCATTTGAAAGTATTGTGCTTGGTCAGCATAGTATATAAGAAGAATTTTGTTTGAATTTTAATGTGCCTGAGTTTGATATGCATGGAAGGATCGAAAGTGAATTTAAGAGGTCTACATTGATGCCCTGATTCTAATGTTGCCACATTTCATGGGCCTAAGGGAGTTATTTGTGTATTTGGGGTTCAGGTTCGTTAATTTATGGGTCTTTCCTATTTTTGTGTGATTAAGGAGAATCCTACCATAGCCAAAGTGATTCCTCAGCACATAAGGTAAACAAGTAGAAAACAGGTAAGGGGGTAAAGTGAAAAATGACTTTTACTTAGGAAAAGAGAGGAAATGAACACATGAAAGAGAAATAGGTTCCTAAATGAGAAACGGAAAATCACTATATCTAGTGTGGCCCGAGCATGGCTCGTTTCAGGGATAATATAGTAAAGAAAGAGAGATTTTAGTTTTGCTACCATGCAGAGGACATAGAGAAAGAGGCAAATGAGACATAGAAATTTTAAGCAGTTCGCTTTTGTTGCAAATAGAATCCTTTCTTGGGAATTTTCAAGTCTTTGGTATATTTACAGGTCTTTTCTCTTTTTAATTAATTTTAAATTATCACGTGATGAGTTGAACTTGGTGCATATGAGTAAATGTGTACTGTTCTGTAAATTTTAATACGTGCACTGATCCATATAACTTCCATGCTAATTAGAATCCAGAACACTTCCTTATTCTTTCAAACAAAAAAACAAAAGAAAACCCTCTCTTTTGCTGCCCCAGTACACTGACACCTTCTTCCTATTCATTTTTCTAATCCCTGGAAACCCCAGAGCTACTCTCCATTAGCATAGTTTAACCTTTTCCAAAGTGCCACATAAATGAAACCATGTAATCTATCCTAACTGACTTCTCTAACACAGCAGCAAAATTCTTTGGCGATGCGTCTAATTTGTTGTGTGAAGTAATAATTCGTTTATTTCTGTTGCTGACTGATTATATTATAACCATTTATCAGGTTTTTAATCCATTCCACCCTTGAAAGATATCTGGATTGTTTTTAATTTGGGGTAAGTTTTTACAGTTTTGGTTTATTTATTTTCAAGATTTAAGTCTGTCTGATTTTTAAAATATATTCTAGAAAGTATTTACACATTGGATAGTAATGACCATTATTTCCTTGGGTAATTATTAATAAAGTGTCTGTGAACAGTTGTGTCCATTTCTATGTATATATTGGTGAATAGTAAAGTTTTATTTCTCTACGATATTGTCTTGGTTACTTTTCTGTCATGGCTGACACTGAAAATTAAGGAAGGAAAGGTGTATTTAGCTCACAGTTTATGGAGGTTTCAGTTCATACTCGGCTGGCTCCAAGGCAGTGTGACAGAAGCAGCAAGAGTAAAAAGGGAGGAGCAGCAGCGAATAACCCTCTTTTTCTCCCTTGTATTGTACGCAAAGTACCCGCCCCAAGGTGAGTGTAGCACTCACACCCATAATCCCAGCATTGCACCATGGATCAATCAAAAACTCTAGAAGCCTGCCCCATGACTGCATGAGGTTTTCGGGGGACATCTACACATCAGCCTAACAGGTATATACCTAGCAACTGGATCCTTGTATTAGATAGCAAGAGTTTATTTTACTCTTTAAGAAAAAGTAGAAGTGTTTTCCACAGTAATTGTATCATTTTGCATCCCCACTACCAATGCCTGTGAATTCATGTCATCCCACAACAAAGTCAGTGTGTAATGCTGCCAGTGTTATTATTATAGTCATCCTAAATCACATGTAATGATATCGCATTATGGTTCTAACTTGTGTTTTCTTAATGATTAATAAGATCAAGCCATCTTTCATGTGTTAATTTGCCATCTATATGTATCCTTTTTCATGAAACATCTTCCCAAGATATTTGTCCAATTTTAATAGAATTATTTGTTTTCTTGATATTAGTCCTTGACAGTTCTTTATATTTTCAGCATATAAGCTCTCAGTCTTATACATGATTTGAAGATGGTTTCTCTGAGACTTTTAGTTTGTCTTTTTCTGGCATTAACAATGTGTTGTGGAGCAAATATTTCTAATTTTGGTTGAGTCCAATAGCAATGTATCAGTTCCTTATTTTATGGAATGAACCTTTGGTGTCAGGTCTAAGAACTCAGCAAAAACTTGCACCATAAACATTTTTGCAGATATTTTCTGCTTAAAGTTTCATAGTTTTGCATTTTACATTCAGATTTAGGATCTAAGTAAATCTTTTGTATAGCATGTGGTATTTACATTGTCATTCATTTCTTATATGTTATCCCCGTGTTTCAGCACTGATTGTTGAAAAGACTATTATTTCTTCATTGAAATTCTCTTGTGCCTTTGTCAAAAATCTATTGGCTGTATTCACATGGGTCCCTTCTGTTGTCTTCATTCTGTTCCGTTGATCTATACGTCCATCCTGTCTCACATAGAACACAGTCATTATTATCATTATTATTATCATTATTATTATTATTATTATTATTATTATACTAAGGCTTCTCTAGTTCTTTCAATTCTGACTTTTTTCTTCTTTTTTCCTTCAGGTATCTGCATGTAAGTATTTACATATTTAAGATTTCTGTTTTCTTGCTAAACTGACATTTTTACTACTGTGTAATGTAAACATTATCTGTGAAAATGTTTTGCTGTGAAATCTATTTTGTTTTAGTAGAGACATTTCAGCTTTCCTTTAATTAGTGTATTTAAATTATAGATTTAAGCTATTTATATCATCACACTTGGAAATTCTTTAGTCACATCTTTAAATTCATCTACATTTTTTTCATCAGCATGTTTAAAAAATTCAAAATTAATTCAGTTAATTAAAGTTAGGTCTACAATTTCTTAAAAATTGTTTTGATTTTTCTCTTTGTTTTATTTCTCTCTGGTTTTTCCCATTCCTTACTTTCTAACACATTATTTGGAAACTCTTTTCCTTTTGGTATACTATTTTAATGTACCTATTGAAATTTTGATTACAACGCTGTTGCTTTATTTTAGCAATCACTTCATAAATTATGATGTGCATGCTTCATTTTGTCAGTCTAGTTAGACCTGAAATTTTAGCATTTCAAGTTGAATGTAGAAAACCTTATTACTATGTAGGTCTTTTTACCCTTCCTCACAGCACTAGAGCTGTCACATATTATTTCTAGATTCATGAAAAATTGTTATAATTTTTGCTTCTAACTGTCAAACCTATTTTAAAGAACTAAAGAATAGTGTAATAGTTTTGTTATAGTCACCCAGAAATTACCATTTCTGTTGCTCTTCTTTAAGCCCTGATGTTGTAAATTTCTGTCAGCTATCATTTCTCTTTCACGTGATGAAATGCATTTTGCAGTTATTTTAGAGTATATATCCCAACAACACAAACTCTTAATTTTCTGTCATCTCATAATTTCTTTTATTTCACCTTCATTGATAAAATAAACTCTAGTTGAATATAGAATTCCACATTAAAATGATTTTCCTCATCATTTTACAAACAGCTGCACCTGGTCTGAGTTGTTTGTGATGGGAAATCTTCAGCAACAAATCCTGTATTGCTAATACCTCATATTGTTCTGTATCCTTTAAAAAATTATTTTTACATTAATTCCAGCAGTTTTGAGTTTTTGCATTAATTCCAGCAGTTTTGAGTTTTCAAAACCTAGCCATGACTGTCTTTGGATTTATCCTGTACGGAAGACACTCTTTTTTCTAGAAACTGTGGGCTTATTCTTTTGCTAAATTGAAGTTTGAGCTATTATATTCTTAAGCTTTTTTCTTGTTTTACTGTCTTCTTTCTCCCCTCTTTTTGGTAATCTGAGCACACCAAGTTTTCACTTTTTGCAGTCCATGCATTCTACTCATTCTTCCAATGTTTTTGCTCTCTGATGCTCAAAAGAAATTTTTTGTTAGTTTATCTCCAAATCTATTAATGCTTTGCTTTGTCATCCCCAAACTGCCTTTGAGACTATCAAGTGAGTATTTTTTTAAATCTTCCATTATTGTCTTTTTCACTTCTAAGACTTCTACTTTGATCTTCTTTATATCTTCTATTTCTTTCTTGAGATTTTATATTTCTGTTTTTTCCAGAGTGTTTGTGATTCCTCCTAGAGCATGTAGCAGCTGATTTTAAATATTTGTCAGATAATTTCAACATCAGCATCGCCTCAGTGTTGGGACCTGTGAATAATCTTTGCCCATGTGAGTTAAGATTTCCTAATTTCAGGATGCTGGTTCATTTGGGCCTGTAACCTCCTCTTTGTGAATATTATAAAATGATACTCTCGATCTTTCTTCTAGTCACGTAGAAAATGTTGTTATTTTTATTTTAGTAACCAGCAACGATGGTTTGTTTCAAGCA